TTTTTTTGACTAAAAGTTACTAGTTTTATTTATCAAGGACCTTCACTTATGGACCTCCTGACTAAAGGAGATGGGGATTTTTGTCTATCCCTACTGACCTGTGATTCCTACAATTGGAGTCTATCTGCTTTTCAAAGTAGGGAATCTCAGACACTTATTGCACTTTCTCCAGTGTGTTGTTCCTCCGAACTCCCAACGAGTATTCCCTTCTCTTCTCATGGAGCACTGGAGTCCTTACCACTTCCAGTTACCAATCACTAGAGTGGTGTACTGTGAATGTGTTTTGAAAAACAAAATAAAACTTTCTTGCCTATGTGTACCCACTCAGCAAAAGAGGGCTATAGTTGTTATAATCATTACAGGTGCTTCCCCTGGGAGTATTTGTCTGAGCAGGCTGCACTTGTTGATCATATATTTCTTATGCAAGGTGTTTCCCCTGGATGTTTTTTGCTCAGGCAGACTGTACTTGTTGATCTCAAATTCTTATGTTCTTATGCAAGGCACTTTCACTGGATGTTTTTGCCTGGATGGACTGCACTTGGCATAATGGCGTATCCCAAAGCACTCCCTCTGGATGTTTTTTGCCTGGGTAGACTGCACTTGGCCTATTCAAATACATTTCATGGTCCTTAAGCTCTAGCCATGTATTGTTATTTTGTTTTTCTCTTTAGCTCATTTACTGGGACCATACTATGACTCACTATCACTATGTTTGGTACTACATCTTGTTTCTTACGATGGCTCGTTATGACATGGATGTGGACAGAGGGCTAGTTATGATGACCCTCATTAATTTATATCTTTCATAATCTTGCGCATCCAAGGAGCTTCCCCTGAATGTTTTTGCCTGGTTGGATTGCAGTTGACATAATCTGATGTAACCCAAGGCACTTCCCTGGGCACATACATATAAGGGAAGGGGGATGCATACACATGAGCCTTTCCATACTGATTCATGTCATAGTTATCCAGCACTTTCTATACTTATTTGGTGTTGTGCATCTCTTTATTGACTTCATTTGTGCCTGTCAATTCAGTTCTGTCCAAATTGTGTTACTGTATTGATTGCTAGGCGAAGTAGTGCTGTACCCCACTGGTCTGGTTTCTTTTCATATTCTAGCATACCCATTCTTTCAGTGAAGTCGCTTTCCGCTTGATTTGAGGTTGATGCACTTTCACAGGCCCCTCCACCTTGGTAATGTGGGATTCTAACTTTGGGTGAATGGAGGTAGTACCATTTCAGAAGATAACATTTTTGTACTCTGAAAATGTATTTCCAATAAGCACTTACCTCTTCTCACCCATTTCCCACCCTTCCTCCCCACTGAGATGCCAGTGTTTATGGTTTGTGCAAGCCAGTTCTCGAAATTGAAGATTGTTCTAGTATAGTAGAGGGAACTAGCTGTGCCAATATAGATGGTGCAGTACGATTAGTGGAGAGTAGTCACATGATCAGCACATGTTCTGAAATGGTGCAAACCTGATGGGGTATAAAGACTGATGCAGGTGAGCATTTACAATTAAATAGTAATAATATATATATATTCATAAGCACTTACACAGTTTGTACACCTATACTGCTAACTCTCAACCATCCTGGGAGGATAACTAACATCCAAATACCTACCAGGTTTTTTGGATCAGCCCAGACTATGTACAGAGCCATATCATAAACATTTTCTCACACTTTTATTACTTTATACAATTCTCATTGATAAATTCTCTCCCATTGTGTTCTCAGAGCTAGGATTGCAATAAACTCTGTGGGAAAGTTCTGGTAATTGTGCTGCAGGAGCTTATTTGCTACTGATGGTGTCACATAAACAATCTAATGGTAGTAGTGGTGATTCACTGCTTTATGATTGGTAGGTTTCTACTTCAGCTGCTATCAGTAAAATTAACATAGGAAATAGATGTGAAAAGATTAGAATTACGAACTCTCGAGGGAAGTACTTTGGAACTTTGTGGCCAATATTAAAGAGGGTAGAACTATACTGCTCACTATATTTTGCATTTTTCAACCTTTAAAATTTTATGGTGGTTACGAGATCAGTCAGATTGACCAACCCTGTATAGAATTAGTAGAGAAAATAACAGATAAAATATAAAAGTTTTTTGAAAAAAAAACAAAACGTTTGACATTTATTTAGGAGAATTTAGAGATTATGCAAATGAAATTTTAAACTTTCAGATGAAGAAAAGTATTTTTAATCTTAATATGAAAATCACTTGGCACTCAGAAAAGTCAACACTCTGACTCCATATATTTGTAGTAAAAATACTTCCTTAAAAATTCTGATTTTTGGTGTACAAAACATTTGTAATGTTTACTTAAAACTTGAAAAATTTCACAAAACATGTTAAAAGTTATACTAAGGAAATTCTGATGGTCTGTTTGTGGTCACGTGGTCAGTAACTGACCGAGTCAGTAGTGAGAGTTAAAGGGTTAATTGCAAATAGTCAAAAAAAAGGCATTATGTGAACAGTTTGCAATTTTAGGATAGCAATTTACATGAAACATGAAAAACCTTCAAAAAATTTTTAAAAATTCACTTAACTTAAGCAGTATGAATTAGTAATAGGATATAGTGCAGTATTAGCTTTCCAATCAAATTTTGCTTAAGTTTCTCCCTATCTGAACTCGTTAAGCTTGCTAGCTTGCAACAGTCTTTTTATGATGTTTCATTACATTTGTTTGAAATGCTAGTGGCACATGTGAACAATAAATCTACAACTGTAAATATAAGATAATGTACAAACAAATTGAGAATCTTTATTTTTTTATCTCTCAGATGTGTAACCAGTCTTTTCCAACTTGAGCTTTCTAGGATTGCAGCTAATAGTTTAAAAAAATATCTGAATTTGTATTTATGAGTCAATTTTTATGTTTTATGTATCTGAGAGACTTGTTTTTTCTGTAAACTTTGTTTGATATTTCATAAACAAATTTCTGAAAGGTGATAAAAAATGATCTGAATCCTGTTTGGAAGACATTTGAGATTCGAGCACAATCACTCTGTAGTTCCAATCCAGAAAGTCCAGTCATGGTATGTATGAAATAACTTTCTTTTTCAAAAACATAATGTTTATATTTATCAAACAGGAATGGTAATGTAATTCAATTAATATCAGCCTTCAGGTGTTGCAAAATGTATGCTTTCATGCTTTTGATATTTTAAAAGAATTAAGTCTCAAATTTATAGCTTAGTCTACCTTTATATGCCCTATCTCTAGCTAAAAGTATACTTATTTAAGGAACACCTATTAATAATGTCCTCCTGAGTAGAAACAACTCAGTTCAAGGAGTATCAGTGGAAATGACGACATTCTTCAATTAATAATGTTTTTGAACTGAGGTCTAAAATCTATTATAATGTCTTCTAAGGATACATTTGTGAAATTAACCCTAAGGTGTACAGCAGGGTCAGAGTATACATATCACAACATTTCACAGTTACATTCAAAATTAAACAAAATTATTATCAACTTGAACCTCTTACCTTCTTGATTTATTGAAATATTGATAAATTTGTAAAAGTCCCAACTGTCTTTTCATGCATTTTATTTCAGTTATTTGCATCATGCCTACTTGCCTGATGGATATATTTATAACTAGTAGAAAAATCATATAATAATTTTTCGGAGTCTTAAGCCTTTTGTATATATATTTGGCAGTTAAAGATGATAATTTGCAAGAACAGGTTAATGTATGCTGAGTAAAGTCATTGTTCCTATCAGTAACAGAATGTTTTAACCTTAACTAGAAAGCCAGATAAATTATAGCAATTTTGGGACATTCTGTTTTAGTGTCTGGTATACATTTCTGTTCTAAAATGCATATTTGAAAACTACATGAATTATTCTCTGGATAACCAACATAATGAGAAAAAGTGGGGTACTGAAATGGGCCACAATGCCTAAAGTAAGTGCTAAATTTCTTGTTTATGTATATTTTTATTTATTTTTGTAATTTTTTTAATAAAATTTTTTGTTGTTGAAATTAAAACCATCTTTTGAGTAGGTAACAAAAATATAATAAAGTTTTATGGTCTTAGGAACTCCAGCTTGCAAACACAAACTATGTGTAACTTGATTGGTTTGCTTACTTTATCTGTAGGGGAGAAATATATATGGGCTTTTCCTGTGACTTATTGCCTTTCACAGAATAATAACCAGCTTTCCTGGAACAAAGTCAGGAAATAGAACAATAAAATTAAAAAAAAAACAGATGTGAAAAGGATAACAGTTGAAATTATGAAGATAATTAAGTTGAAGATCTGGTGAAAATGATGCATTCAAAGAAGAAGAAAAAGGTATTTTTCATTTCATTTCATGTTTTTCAACTTTTCATTTGACTGTACACTGATAAATTCACTACAGTTGGTGTTAGGTTAGAGAAAATAACAGATAAAATATATAGTTTTAACAAAAAATCTAGATATTTATTTAGGAGGTTCTGGTGGTTATGCAAATGAAATTTGAAAACTAAGATAACAAATAAATATTTTTATTCGTAATATGAAAATCATCTTTTGCCGTAACTGACTCAGTAAAGGTTTCATGAATTTACAGACAAATCTTAGTAGAAATACCTTATTAAAATGTTTTTTTTTGTATGCAACAGATTATAATGTTTACTTAAAGCATTCCAAATTTCATGAAGATACACTTAATAAATTCAAAGTTCTAACATGTATAGTTTCACACTTCCAATGTAGGTGAAATTGACCCACATCATACAGAAAGAGTTGACTTGGTTGACATGATGCAAACCTTGAGAGTTCCTGATTTACATTGCTGTTTTCTTTTGAGTTGACATAATACTTCAGCTCATAAGTTATGTTTTGATAACAGTAGATTAGTTAGTAAACTTGTAGCAAGTGTTGCTTATGAAAAAAAGAAAAATCCTGACTTGTGATAATGAATTTATTCAAAGTAATCTTTTGTTACTTGCCAATTTTTTCAAACTTTTTTTTTTTTTTTAACTTAAAGATTTTGATTATTTTATATTATGTATAGCACTGTTAAAGTTTATTATTATTTATTATTTTTACTGGTACCTGCTCAAAAGTAAGTCTAAGGGCTTGCACTGCTAAAACTTGGGTTTGATACTCATGGTGAGCACAGCATAGATAGCCCACTGCATAGCTTTGTGCTGTCTATTTATATGTATTAATGTTTTTGTGCTCATGTTTTAAATGATAAAATCATTTCACTAAAATCAACCAAAGAACTTATTTTTGGCATTGATGCAATTTTGATCAATCAGTCCAAAGAATAACAGATAATTTGTTAACTTGAAACAAAATCCTTTAACTTTGTATAATTTTTATTAAAAATGTTTTCAATCAGCTTGTAAAGGACCTTGTTTTATTTTTTATTGAGTGAAGTTATACAATGTTAATAAAAAGTTTCAATTTACCCATATGAAGCTGTTTTTTTTTTTTGTTATTCAAAATGTTTGTATATTTTTTGCTAGGTAAAACACAAACTTTTAAAATCATTAAGGTATTAAAACTCATTATGGTTTCTTTTAACTTAAAACATATGCAGAACTCAAAATTATTGCTAGCTAATTACTGGTTAGTGTTGTAGTTTTGCCAGTAAACATTACAGAAGGAAGATTTACAGATTCTTATTGTGGAGTATCAATACTCTTAAGATATGTGCATTTCAGTCATTTTGCAAGCTTCTAATCACAGAAGGTTACTGTAATTGTGATTAAGAGGATTGTTGTTCTTGCTATGGCCACATTGGGTTTGCAATCCCAATTTGATCTGCATTGCATACATAGGCTAAGTGTCAGGAAATGGGAATAGCAACACAATAGTTTCAATTCTTTGACTGATTTCCAAGGTAATTAGTTACCTTGTGGGCCAGCCAGCTAGACTCACACAGTATGGCCTCTGCAGTGTAGTTTTGCTAGCAGCATAGATATAAATAGTGTGTCCAAGTGGCTACTCATCGGAGATAATAATAAGATAGAAGTCATGTAAACTGCAGGTTTTTTTTCCCAACATTCCTTTTAGTTTGTCAATGATTTACATACATTAAGTCTTTTTATTGATTTGCCAGTTTTTGTCATTTAAACTGTAACTTTTAGTAATAAATATGTTTTAGTATGGGATGACTATCAGCAGTGGTGTACCATAGATTTCCATTCAGGTGCTTGTGGCCTAGATATACCAGTTTCTGCTCAAATTGAGCATTTTTTAATTTTTATGAAGTACATAAAATAAAAAACATTGTTATGTCTATTTAAATTGAGTTTTGATACTCAAAAGTATTTGAAAAGAAAACATAAGGCAAGAGATTTATATCTACAAGTAGGATATATATATATATATATATATATATATATATATATACATATTTATTAAATTTAATATATGATATAATTTATTATAATAAATTAAAGTTAGTATTAAAGAATAATGTTGTTGCTAGTAGAAGTCATGTATTTGCTAGTGTAAAAAACAAACTAACAACCATTTGCTAGTGCCTTCAAAAGTTAAAAGTTGAGGCCTGATTTTAATTAAAAGTACATAGTGTATGAACTATATGAATTTAATTGTTATTTGCAGATAACTTGCTATGACTATGATTCTGATGGAAGTCATGACCTAATAGGTGATTGTACAACCACCTTAGGTCAGTTAATGGAAGCACAAAGCCATCAGGTGAACTTTTCTTTTTACTATGAGAAAAATCGAAATACAAGTCTTGATGATAATATTTTTTGTGAAATTAAATAGCAATTTAAAAAAGAAATTTATTTTTTCTGTCTTTTAAGGAAAAAAAGTTAATAATAAAAGAATTCACTTATAAACAGCTTGTTCCATGATATAAGGATTTTGAAGAGATAAGCAAGATTTTTGTCTTATAAAAACTTTTAAAAATCTAAGCCATTTTTGGCTTAATTATCTCAAAATGTTTTCTGCAGACTTAGATCACTAATAAAAGATCAGAAGGGAATTTTTTTCTCATTATTTAGTGAAATACGTGTAATAATTTATATTAATTAGATATATTGTTTGAGAATTTCAATTGTCTTGAACTTTAAAATGATTGAATTATACTTCTCATGCTTTTACTGCTTTCTAAGTGAAAAATCAAGATGCTTGATTAAGTAGGGTCTCTGTATTTACATATCAGTAATTTATCTGACAATTTATATTGTCATGTTAGAGCTTCATTGAATTAGTAACACTAGTCACATGAATTTATCATTAGAAAAGCAAGTTAGTTTAAACATATGGTTTCTGTATAACTGTTTTTAGGCTCTTTATGCTCTTGAAATAAATTGTACTGCAAAAATATTTAGTATTGTATGATGCCAGTTACAGATGTTTAACAAGCCATGAAATATAAGTTGGTAAATGGAGTAGGACCAGAATAACAACTTTGTTAGTAGGAGACAGCATTTTGAATGTCTTACATGTAATTCACTTTATGACATTTGGTTATGCAGGTCGAGTGGCCATGTGTCAATAAAAAGAAGAAAGAGAAAAAAGGAAAATCATATAAGAACTCTGGAATTATAATTCTTACTTCTTGCAAGGTGAATCTATTTTAATCATTTTAATTGTGAATATTACAAAAAGCATTGAAATAAATGAATGCATTAATAAAAAAAAAAAAGGTAAAATATTTTCAGCAACGTTTACTTACCTCTTTGTACAACAGAGAGCTAGTACTTTATGACACTACCAAAATTTTAAATATTTCAATTAGAAATTGGTGTGAAGTATCTTCACTCTGATTTTTTCTTTAAATAAAATTTGTAATTTTGGGACACATATCTCATTCTTTGTGTTAAGCTTTCTTTTGACAGTATTAGTTCCCATTGTATTAATACAGCATACAGATTTCATTAAGTATTCTTCAATGTTGTCATTAGGTCAGTGAACCTAGGCCTTTGCACTATCAACATACCAGTCCATTTTTTTATTTCTTAAAAAAGTCTGTTTCTTGAATCATCTGGATTATTTATTTACGTCTCCATGTTTTTAACATCTCCCAAGGTTTTAACACTCCTCAACAGGAGTCATCTAATACTGTGATGGTGACTAGAGCCACTCTGATGGTGAATGATGTTACCACCATTGTGCCATGTGGGTTTGATTCGTTATGTCTTATGTTTTCTCTTTCTCCAGTTATTCTTTGCTGAATCTCATGCTATCTTGTTTTATGAGCCTTTATCACCTTAGTCTCTTATTTCAGCATGGGGAACTCCTCTTTTTCTTTCTGTCACTGTCCACCTACTCATCTTCCACACTTACTCAACTTCTTTGTTTTTTGTCCATATTTCACCTTCTTCTCGTGGCTTCACATCACCACCCTGTCAGCTTTTCTGGAGAAACTGGCACATATCTGTTTTCCATCTTACTATTGATATCTTTCTACCATTGTGTCCCAGTTAACTTTGTTTCTGAGATGTGTAAAGTTGGGATGCTTTACTTTCAGATGTTCACCTCCTTCAGTCTTTTCCAAGGGGTGTCTGTCTGGCACCATTCTTTCAAGATGGGTTATTTGGAGATGTTCCTTACACTTTGGAAACTTGAACTAATGTTGGTTATCAACAGTCTTCTCTGATGACTTTTCTTTCCTGATTTTCTTAGTCCAGAAAGTTGCAACAGGATTCTTGTCTTTGGGAGTCTTATTGAGTTGCTTCTAATCTGTTCCTCATCCTCTTGCTTGTTTTTGGGGGGCTGGCCATAGAGGTGACTGACTCGCTTTTGGAGCTGCCCCTCAGCTCCAGTCTGGTAGGAGCTTGACTATCCCTTTTTATACACTTGTGGATTTCTTTCACAGACGATTTTTGGGTCACACAGGTATTTTCCCATGAACTTTCCCTGTCTATCCAACTCAACTTCCTGTTTCTCCTTTGCTGGTTGTCTTTCAACCCCTCCTCCTGCTCCCTCAGATATCATGTGCCTTTAACATCTAGGAAAGGCTGTATTTTCTATGTGGATTATAAAAGCTGTAGAACAGGCCCTCAACACCTTTTGGGATTTTTACTCCCATCTTTTTGTCATTCCAAAGAAGATTGGAGCCCTGTCATAGATCTCTCATTTTAGAATCATTTTTTTGTCATTCCTCAATTCACAATGGTAGTTTTTCTTAATCTAAGGTGGGTGTTCCCTTCTGGGCTGTGGATGACCAAAATCAATGTTTTGAATGTCTTTTTCCACATCTTGATTTGTCTGTTTGCCCAATGCTTTCTTCACTTTGTCCATGACAATTGATTTTTTCAGTTCCAGGCCCTTCCCTTCAGATTAGCCATGGCTCTGTAAATTTTCGGTTTGGTTGTGAGTGCAATTACATGGAGGAAGCATTTGCTGAGTATCCATTTCTGTAACTATATGGACAGTTAGCTCCATCCAAAAAAAAGATGCATTCACTGCTGCAACCTCTCTTCTCCTTTGTGAGACATTTCCTTTGGGTCGGCTGGTTAACTTCTCCAAGCCTGTCTTGACTCTCACAGTATCTGATTCACTTTGGAGTATTTTTTTTTCAAGTCATTTGCAAAGCTCTCATGTCTATTTCCCTTCCTGCACAATAGGTTCTATCTCTTTTGGGGACTCTTACTTTGCTGAAGTTCCTTGTTCCTCTTGGATGTGCCAATATGCATCCCCTTCAGTGGAACCTGGCAGATCAGTGGTAATCCAGAGATTACCTGCCATCTCTTCAACTCTTACTGTCATAGTGGCTTGATTGTCCCAACACAACACTGGGCAACCCCCTCTTCTCCTAACTTGCATAAACCTGCATCTGGGTGGGGAGCAGTTCTGAATGCATACACTAATTCCAGGATGGTCTCCAGGAAAGTGGTCCTTTCATATAAATGTTCTTGAACTGTTGGCTGCTCATTGAGCATGCTATCATTTAAGTCTTATTTGTCTGATCATCTCGATCTCAGAACTTCTACTTTCTGTCCCTAAATTTTCTGTTTTGGGCCCATAACTGCCACATTCAGTTGTTGGGTTGTCGTGTTTTGCGAGCTTTCAACCTGGTGGACGATTGACTGTCTCGCTTGGACCACAGCCTTCCCACGAAGTGGTCTTTCTATACTCTGATATTTCAGTGGATTTTTTCTCACCTTGGGAGTCTTTGATGCATTTATGATTTCACTCAATATCAAGTTTCTATTTTCTAGTCACCATTCCTGAACTGTGCAACTTTGGCAGTAAATGCACTGAGCTAGGATTGGACGAGTCTCTTTTTTTTTTTACATGGATTCTTAAGAGTAGTTTATCTATTTCTATGACCACTAGTTACAGGGTTGCTTTGCAAATGACATTCAGTCTCTTCTCTGGACATTGTTCATCTCTATCGCTGATTCTCACTGACCTTTACCAAACTTTTCTCGTAAGTCATCTTTCTTATCCAGTCCCTCTTTCAGACTGGAACCTCTGTTTTGTTATCCATACCCTCACATATTTTCTGTTTGAACCTATGGCCACATTTTTACTGTATCATCTTTCTTTCAAGATGTATTTTGATTTTTTTTATTTGTGTGCCCTGATAATTTTGCTTTTGATGCATCCTGCACACTTTCATTATCACAGAGATAGTTTGATTTTATTGTGGACTGCTCCTTTCTCCCCAAGACTTGGGTTGTTTGGGAGGGTGGTTAGCTGTTTTCTCCAATCAACTTTCTTTCCATTTCTCTTCTATAGGATCATTCTAACCCCAATCATCTTCTATATCCTCTTTGGACAGTTTGATATTATCTCAATTGTACTGCTCCCATACATAGCAATTTCCATCGTGTTTTCTTATAGTAGGATTCTTCTTCTTCTCATGATTTATCACATTCCACTTTGACCATTAGCATTTGTTAACTTATCTGGCTTGTTTATTCTTACCAGATAACCTCCCATCAGGTTTGTTATCTGACAACTTGTCTTGCCTTTTACCTCACCATTAATATCCCATGGATGAAATATCACAGATGAGGATGTGGACAACCCCTGACACACTTGTGTCCCATTATTATATATCACTGTATGTTCACTAGAGATGATAGAACCAAACAAGTGACCACTGGTGGATCACAGGGAATACTTCTTTTTCCCAACATCCACATTGAGAGGGGAAGTACAGAATATTTTAAACCCATCTATTCATGCTTAGTGACAGCTGTTGAAGTGGGGTTTTCTATAATATTGCTTTGACACTGCATAAACATTTTTCCTTCCAAGCTCTACTCACCAAGAAAAAAAAAAAAACAGAAACAAATATGACAACACCATCTGTATGCCTGCCCTCACACCTGGCTAGCATCTACTGTCCATGCTCATGGTAACACATTGCACAGTCTATCATTATGGGATTTTATGTAGATGTATAATGTTTCCTATTTTGTCCAAGCACTTCTCTGGCATTGTCATCCATGCAAGTTCCTCCTTCCCATTCTCATCTAGTGAAGTGAGGAAGAACCCATGCTTCCCCAGTCCCAACTTGCTGAGTCATTGTGAACTTACTTGTATGAAACTGAATGGGTGCACCCCTTAATGGGTTGAAGTATTACCTAGAAGTGCCACCCTACTACGCTATGAGGCAAACCATTCCTGGTGGTTAGGTGAGCCATATGGATCTTTTGTTGGAGTGGCCTAACTTATTGACCTAGTCACACTACATACTTGTGCTCAGCAAACCATCTGTGAAATAATGGTCACTAGAGCAATCTTACGTTTCTGCCTACTTATTTGACTCTTAAGCACTGTGCAAAAGGTTGTTTTGACAATATATTTTGCTCTACTACCTCTATTGGGTGAGGAGTATTCCCTGATTGAGATGGATATGGTCTCCTATTGAGTGATGCCCCACTAGTGGTTGACATGCTTTATGGATTTTTACCTTTCTGATGCTATATTTTCAGAAATTAACTCATCTTCCAGTGTATTTAATTTGCTTCATCAAGAGTGAGTCTTTGTTCAAATGGGGATTACTACACATGGAAAATGTGTGGCCATCTTGTTGATGAAGGGCTATAGTATAATATTGACTACATCAGAGGTTAGTACAATACACATTAATATGTGTAGAGGTGGGAGCCTTGTTCAAGGCTTGGGACATGTGCAAAAATCTTCATGGCAGTGGTGCAAGGTAATATCTCTTTGTTGTTCACGGAGGTGAGAAAATTGTCAACTTTAGTCAATTTCATGATAATCTTCTTGTGTAGTCTTAAATTTTCAGAGGTAAAAAAGCAAAAATACATAGTTTAGGTACTGTGCTAAAGGAATTTAGATTTTAGCCGTAAGTTGCAAACAGTGTCTTAGATTGTTATGGTATGACTTATTAACATCTTGGGGTTTGAATTTTCTGATTTCCAAATAAAATTGTTTGTGATTAGCTACTTTTAATTTTGTGAATTTCAGAATAAAACAATTAAATTAGGAAATATGTAAATATTGTGACACTGTGTACATATTTTTTGGTTATTTTTAACTCGTTTGTTAATATGGTAATTATTAGTATTAGTATGATTAGTAATTATGACTCGTGTACCTTGTTTATGTAATGATTTACTGTTACTGAAAAGTTAGTTGCTATTATTAAAGTAATATAATGAAAATATGAGAATTGTAAGTTTTAGATCATATTGCATGCATAACAGTAATGAAAATATTCCTTCTTAGGTTACAAAAGCATATACATTTTTGGATTACATCCTTGGAGGAACCCAACTTAATTTTACAGTAAGTTATATTGAAAAAGGAATAAAACATGTTAATTGTTTTGAAGCTCTTAATATATAATTTAATCAAACGTGTCTACTTGTACAGACTATGTGTGGTTAGAGTGCCAGGCTGTGGATTGGAAAATTCAGTTAAGATTCAAGCCATGATGTGCTTTTGAACACTCTCCTCACTTTCAGCTATAAGGGATGTTATGATTGTTACATTAAACCCTGATAATTGTTCAAAAGTAGCTGCATAGGCAGTGGATGCTATTGACTGTTTACTTTCTGTCTGGTCAGCAGTTAAAATGGTTATGTCTGAACCTTGGGGTCTCTGACCTGGCCAGTTAGCCCATATGTAACATAAGGTACCATTCAAGTTGAATCATAGCCTAACATCCGATATTTTGGGCAAGTTAGTTTAATTTTTGTAGGGTTGAAAAAAAAATTCAAGCACCAATTCAAAACTTTATAACTGATTCCTTGGAATACATTCAAGGGAGATAACTTTTCTTACCAAGCACTGGAAGTGTCATTTTGCAACAATTATTTTTTATGCCTGCTTCACATTCATGACAGTGCATCTTGTCATGGTTATTTGTAGATAATTTAATTGCTATGTGCCAATTTTTAAGGTACCACCCAGAAAAAAACA